TTGTTTCCGCCGCGGGTGACACGAGCGTATGCACTTGCCGCGCGGTCCATTGCAGCCATATCCGCGACCGCCTGCTTGAAGGGTCGAGAGGTCAGCAGGCTCTTCTGCTGGTACAGTTTGAAGCGTTTCGCCGTGCGGAAGTCGGAAGCGTCCTCCACTTGAAGCACCTCGAAACGCCCCGAGATGAGGTTGAGCGCGTGTGAGATGAGTTCGAGTCCGCCCGCCGAGTCGCCTCGCTGCGCCTTGTATTCCGCGTGCAGCAGGTACGCACGCAAGTCCTCCAGCAGCTCCGCTTGCTCTCGCACGGAGTCGTTGACGAAAGTCGCCGCCGAAAAGGTGAGGTTAGAAGAAGGAAGGGGGGGGAGGTTTTCCGTGCCAATAAAATTAGCAGTGTTGACTGGAGCCTCACCAGCTTCATCTTCAGAGTCGTCGGTGTCGTTGTCGACCGCCGGAGCAGGGGGAGCGGCTGTCGCTGCGTCGTTGTCATGCCGGTTCGTACGTGCTCCTCGCGTGCCTTTTTCCTTTTTTCGCGTTTTCTTTTTTAGCCGACGCAGATGCAGCGGGTAGTGCAGTTTCCGCAGCTGTAACGCTGACGGGCTGCTGCTGTAGAAGGGATAGCAGCGCGTTGACCTGGTCCGGGGTCAACGCCTGCGTCAGTGCAGGGGCGGTCGTCGCGTCAGACGAGGAGACCGCAGTCCGCCTCCTCTGGCGCTGACGCGACGGTCCAGCCGCGGGTGCTGGCGTGTGCTCGGCGTCAGGTGCGTGTGCCGCGCCAGCTGCCGTCGCCACTTGCGCCGCAGGTGCCACAGGCGCCACTGGCGCCACTGGCGCCACAGGGGCCGAAGGGTGCTGCTGGGCGTCGGCACTTTTGTTGACCTCGAGCCCGCCCAGCAGCACGTCCACTGCAGTCGGGGCGGGCGGTCCATCTTCTGCCCGGCGCTTGTTACGGCGGTCACCCGCAAAATCGCGGGTGTTACGGTCGGAGTCGGAAGCGGGGTTGGACGAGTTCCCGTTGTTAAGTGTCGTCGTCGGTGCCATCGTTGATCGATTGAAGTTAAAAATGTCGCCAAGTAAAGTCGAGGGTGACTCGCCTCTAGGAAGCGATTTTGTTCTAGCCAGCTTGGAAGGAGAGAAAGACTACGTGAGCGGAAATGTTGAGTGAGCCGTTTGAAATAGAGAAACGTGGGTGGAGGGAAATGAGCTCCAACCCACGGTTTTTGTAGTTGGAGAAGGGCGTTTAGCGCGCTTCGACGATGCCAATTGTGCAGTACAAGCAGCTTCGCTTTCACAATACACAATTTTAAAAAACACAATGTGTTTAAAAATTATAATATTTACTCAAGGAACTCAGCCCTGCACCTGTTGCGCCCTTAACCTGCATCTTTTCTTTAACATTCAACTGTACACCTGTTCCTTCCACTTCCTAACCCTGCACCTGTTCCTACCACTTTGAACTACCTACTGCTGCCCTTTCAGCCCAGCTACCTGTTTCTCCCATGCAATCCTGCATCTGTTCCTCTCCTCGCACCTGCACCTATTTGCTGTCCCCATACCCGCCCCTCTGCCCTTCATCCAGAACGTACTTCTATTCCTGAACCTGTTCTTGGCATCCTTCAATCTTCCCAACCTGTCACTGTGTTAATTCCATACTTGAACCTGTTCCTGTGTCCTTCCCATTCCCGAGCCTCTACCCTGTCTCTATCCTGTAACCTGCCCCTGAAACTGACACTTGACCTGCTACCCCTGACCCTGCATGCTGCACACAAGCAGAACAAGATTCAGCCTGAACAAAACAAAAAACAACAAACAAATCATGTCTTGCTACCCTGCAATCCTGCAAAACAGATGCCCTGCATCCCACAAAGCACATGCAAGAGCATGCACATGAACCCGAGAAGGCACACAGACGACCTCAGCACGGCCTGTCACTGTGCCTGCACAAGGGCAAGACATGAGGGGTCTAGGAGAAAACGCCAAAGCAGCAAGTAGCACTTCAAGCTCCCACTTGTCAGCAGATGAGGAAAATCTCATGTCCACATGTTGGAGTCAGGGAGCTTGGGGTCTTGCCATTGCTGCACTGCCACACAGACAGATGTCGTCACCACGAGACAATGAGTAGCTGGCCCACGTGCTCTTCAGATGAGGCCCTCAAACACCAACTTCAGAAGAGAGGCGCTGATACTGCCGCCCTGCAGCTGCAGAAACACTAAGACCATAACAACAGAAGGCCATCGCACACACCCTCAGCGCGGGTTCAGTGCACCAGGGGCTTAGTACTGCTGCGGAGGGTAGTCACGCCTGTCCCCTCCGCCTCCTGCTCCATACCCGTCATACTCGCGCCGCTCATGCTGCCCCTGCTGTGGAGGCAGCACCGGGGGTGCACCGCCGCCGCCAGCAGCAGCGCCGTACCCTCCGTCCCTGCCGTCGACCTGGTAACCCCCGTACCCCCCTGGCGCGCCCCTGTAGTCCCCTGCAGGGGCCCCGTATCCCCCCCGCGCGTCAACTGGCGCACCATAGTCACGAGGCGGAGCTCCATCCTGGTATCCACCACCGCCGCCAGCGCCAGCACCATACGCATCGTAGCCTCCCCTGCCGCCGGCACCACCCCCGCCGCCTCCGCCATACCCGCCGTTGTACCCATCGTACCCTCCCCCGCCTTCCCCCTGGTACCCTCCCCTGTCTGCCCCACCCCCGCGATCCCCTCCCTCGTACCCTCCGCCTCCCCCTCCGCCAGCAGGCGGCCTGTCCCGCTCCTCCCGCGCGCGGTTCCACTGCTCGATCTTCGCGCGCCGTTCCGCGCTGCCCTCGCGCACGGGGCTTCTGCTGCGGCTGCGCGATCGCCGCCCGCGACGCCGGTCGTCGAAGCGGCGGTCGTCGTAGCGGTCGCGGCCTCGCCCTCCGCCGTAACCGCCTCCACGGCCGTAACCGCCGCCGCGACGGTCGTCATAACGGTCGTTTCTGCCGCCGCCGCCGCCGCCGCGAGGGGGGCTGCGGCTGCGGCTCCGCCTCCTGTCTCCGAAAAGCTTCCGTCGAAGCTCCCTGGAAGTAAATAAAAACGTGTAGCAAGAAATAAGCAAGATGTTGCAAATATCGTCGCGTGCACTGAGACGGCAATAGCATATGCAGAAAAGGAGAAACAGTTTAAAAGCTGGAGTACCGTAGCGGTTAAAGAAATTTCAAAGTGAAGGACCGAGAGGGAGGCAACATGGGAAGGGCACCTGCTGATCTTCTTCAGATGCATGAAGTTGCAGTAGCCGCCACGGTTGCACGTGTTCTCCTCGTACTGGCGACACGTGGCCTCGCGGAAGTCGGTGACGGGCGAGAAGTCCACCAGAATGGGCCGCCCTGTGAGCCCGAGAGAACGAAGCGGATAATAAGGAGGATGGTGAGGCGGATCGTGAGGCGGATGGTGCGGCAGATGGTAATAAACGGGGTAGAAGCCGAGACACAAGGTGCAGCATTTGCATGTGTGAGCGGCTAAGGGGACGCGGAAAAAGGCCCAGGAAGAAGCTGCATGACGAAGTAAGCAACGACGAGACACCAACCTGCATAGAAGCGGCCAGTGAGCGCTCTGAGAGCCGTCGCAGCCTGCTCCTCCTCGCGGAAGTTGACATACACGTTGCCCACCTGCACGCGCATCACACACACGCCAAACGGTCAGTAAAACGCACGCAATCTCTACGCACGACGGAGCGATCGGCAAAGCGTCGTGTAAAAAAAAAACAAAAAAAAAAACAACAACATGGACAGCAGGACACGTGGAGCAGGCAGCGAAAGGGTTGGCGAGCTGACCATGTGGTCGGCGAGGTTGTCGCAGATGTTGAGGCTGTTGAGCTCGCCGTACTTGCTGAGCTCCTCGAACAGATCCTCGTAAAAGTCCTCGTAGTGCTCCTGAATCTTCTTCGGATCCATCGCCTTGTCCGGCTCGCCGCCCAGTGTCGACATGTCGGGCCGCTGGTACATGTTGGCCAGGAGTAGAGTCGGACTGATGGTCGGCCTGGTAGCGACAAGGGCAAGAGAAACACAGCAGAAATGACAGTGCGATAAGAATTACAATAGCGAGGCGAGAACGATAAAGGTTATAACGAGGCGGGACGGGAGGTACGAGGGGAGGAACGATGCGCTGCGGGAGTGGGTGAGTAGCGGCAAAGGTGGCATACAGCACCTGTTGTGAAGACGCGAGCAGCGATCGCCGTGACGGCACGCGCCGATCTTGAAGTAGAAGGGACAGTTCACCCTGTCCTTCTCCGTGCCGAAGATGGACGCCAGATGTTCCGCCATGGCTGCACGAAGCCTGTCGCACCCGTGCCTTGGTTAGGGAAACCACGCAGGGACGAGAGGCTGGTACTAGTATCGAGGAACAAGAGGGGTGTTACTGCTGTCGGGTCTCGTACATTCAGCGAAGAGGTAAACCGGATGGCTGACAACTTTGTCTGTTCCCACGGATAACCCTCACAAGAAACTTGCGCGAGGGGTTGTGTACCCTGACGATGGAATGGAAGCATCCAGAACTTCAACAGTTGGCTCGTCGCGAGCACGAGGAGAGCATGGGCGAAAGCTCGCCATGTTACGAGATACAAGCTACCATGAACAAGCACGAGTGCAATTGGAAGAGCAAAGCGAGGATTGTACGAAATAGCGAAAAGTAAATTATATAGGGCTTTCTTGCAGACCTCACAAACGCGTACCGGTTTCCAAATTTGAATTCGAGGTGTACAACTGGAACGGAACTGCCACTCTCGTGAGATTGAAGCCCGAGTTGAGAAAAAAAAATGGATTCGAATTGCGTAACTTATTTGTGGAACGTGTGAGATTGAAGGCGCCATTCTTGTAGACCCCAGAGTTAGCACACTCGTGTTTCTCCGTTCTGGCCGTCCTTTCTGTTCCTAAGATACTACTTACTCGTCACCGTCTATTTTAGCATGCCTGCTCACTGTATGCCCGCAAATACAAACGATGATGTCGCCGATGGTAGCGATAACGCCAGCGGCAGGGGAACCATGATCCGAGCAATTGATAAGGCCGCCATTCACCGCATATGCTCGGGACAGGTGAGCCCGAATAGCTCAAGCGTTTAAACTACTCTCATTCCTTTATTGAAATTGCGCAGTTTCCTGCACGGCGACGTCGTCTGCGGCGCGCAGTCTGTCGCACTCCCCCAGAGCTCCACTCGACCCGCAACCCCCCGTATCGTCTCCCGCTCGCCGCTCGCCGAGCATAAATCTGGCGGGAGGAGCACCGCATGACACGCCGCTGAGATCAGCCCTGACACGTGTTGAGAGTTTACTGAACAGTAGTGTGAACCCCGTCGCAGTTGAGCCGACTCAAAAACGTATTCTTTCTCGCCCCGCTAGTTCACACCTCGTCCTCGTGTGATTCAGGTGGTGCTGGGCCCGTCGACAGCGGGGAAGGAGCTCGCGGAGAGCAGCCATTGTGATACCCTTTCCGCCGCCTCCTGCTCCTCCACCCCTCCTCCCTCCGCCGTCGCCGTGTCACGCAGGTGGTGTTGGACGTGGCAGGCGCGGTGAAGGAGCTGGCGGAGAACAGTATGGACGCGGGCAGTAGGATATATGCTCCTTGCATCCCCAAACCCCCACCTCCTCCCATCCTCCCACCCCAGGTGGTATTGGACGTGGCGGCGGCGGTGAAGGAGCTGGTGGAGAACAGCCTGGACGCGGGGGCGACGAGCGTGGAGGTGCGCTTGAAGGACTTCGGCGCGGAGCTCATCGAGGTGGCGGACAACGGCTGTGGCGTCGCGCCTCCCAACTGGCAGGTGACGCCTGAACTGCCTAAGCAGCGTTGAGGGCGCTCTAGGGGCGTCGAGAGAGGTCAATGGGCAGGCAGGACGCGGGGGGTGCGGGCGTGGAGGTGCGGGTGAAAGAGTGGGGAGCGGAGCTCATCGAGGTGGCGGACAACGGCTGTGGGGTGGCGCCTCCCAACTGGCAGGTGACGCCTGGGCGCCCCAAAGAGCGTTGAGGGTGGTCAAGCGGCGTTGAGAGCGCTCAGGGTTGTGGCAGTTGTGGCTGTCGGAGCGTAGGGGATTGTGAGCGAACGGGTGTTTTGGGCGAGGGGGGGTGTGGTGTGTCAGGTGACAGCTGGCAGGTGGGGGCTTGGAGAGTGAGGGCGTTGGGGGTGAGAGCCTGAAAGGTAGGCGTGAAGGAGGTGGGGGCTTGGCACAGGTATGGTTGGAGTGGTTGGAGTCTGACTAGGAACTGGCTGGAGGGTGGGAGGTCAACCATGGCACGTGGGGGGCACGTGGGCACTGTGAAATTGTTGGTTTGACAGGTTGCTTGCTAGTTCTGACCCGCAAACATCACACCACCCACCTCCCAACCTCCTGAATTCCTCCTCCGATCGCGCTCCCCTCCTTCCTCTATCCCCGTCCTCCTCTCCCCCTTTCCTCCTCTCCTACATCCCTCCCTCCTCTCCTCTTGTCCTCCCTCCTTCCCACCTTATATTCCCAGTTCCCCGGCCAATCACCAATTCCCTACTCTCGCAACGCTGCTGCAGGCACTGATTCGCAAGGACCGCACATCCAAGATCGGCCGCTTCGTCCACCTCCCATCTCAGTGACTTATGAGTCGACTCCAATATCACCCACATGCCCTCTCCAACCACCCTCCCCCCCTCTCCACACCACTGCAGGCACTGACCCTCAAGTACCACACGTCCAAGATCACCCATTTCTCTGACCTCCAATCGCTCTCCTCCTTCGGCTTTCGAGGGGAAGCCCTCTCCTCCCTCTGCGCCCTTGCTGACGTCACCATCACCACACGCACCGCCAACGAGCCAATCGCAACGCGCCTGGTGTTCGACCATTCGGGAAAGCTCCTACCCGGGCCTCGGGAACAGGTCGCTCGGGCAGTCGGAACGACGGTTAGCGTGGCGAAGATTTTCTCGCCGCTGCCCGTGCGGCGGCGGGAGTTCGAGCGGAACGTGCGGCGCGAGTTTGCGAAGCAGGTGAGCGTCTTGCAGGCGTACTGCGTGGTGTCCACACACGCGCGCATCCTCTGCACCAATCAGAGCGGGCGGAGCAGCGCGCGCACCACTGTGGTGCAGACAGCTGGCACGGGGTCGATGCGTGAGAACATCATCGCTGTTTTCGGCGCCAAGGCTGCTGCGGGCCTGGACCCCGTCGATATCACCTTCCCTCTCTCCCCTGCTGCCGCCGCTGCTGCTCCTGCTCCTCCTGCTCTTGCTCCTCCTGCTGCTGCGACCGGTGCAGCTGCCACTGCCCCTGCGACACTACCAGCCTCCTGCTGCAGAGTAACCGGGTTTATATCCAGGCCAGGGGCGGGCAGTGGCAGGTCAGCGGGCGACCGGCAGTTCTTCTTCCTCAACGGCCGCCCAGTGGACCTGCCGCGCCTCTCCAAGCTGCTCAACGAGCTCTACCGCTCCTTCAACTCCCTGCAGTTCCCCGCCGCTTTCCTAAACGTTTCGCTTAGCGCGGACGCGTATGATGTGAATGTGACCCCGGATAAGCGCAAGGTGTTTCTGCACTCCGAGGCGGCTCTGCTTTCGGGGCTGCGAGCAGCGTTATCGGAGTTTTATTCTCCGGATAGGTATGTCTACCGGGCCGCGCCGGCTGGTTCGGTGGGGAAAGGGTTAGAGGAACGGGTGAGGAGGGAGGTTGGGGAGAAGGGAGGGGTGAGAAGGGGTGTGAGTAGAGGGGTAGGGGATGGTGAGGATGAGGGGGACAGTGGCGAGGAGGGAGAGGAAGAGGGGGAGGGACGGAGGAAGCGAGTGAGGGTGAGTAGTGATGGTGGTGGTGCTGCTGCTGGTGCTGGTGCAAGAGGGGGTGGTGCAATAGTAGATGCGGAAAATGATGGGAGGGGGGGGCGGGGGAGATGAGTTGATTGGGGAGATGGATGGGAATTGGCAGATGGAGGAGGAGGAAGGCGGGGAGGTGGAGGAAGATGAGGGGGACAGAAGGGAGCCTCTACATCAGTTTGAGCGCGGGGAGGGAGGGGGAAAAGCAATGCTAGGGCAAGCAGTGGGGGAAGCAGCACAAGAGGAGGCAGTGAGGGGGGCGGCAAGGGGAAAAGGAGCAGCAGGAGGAGCAGCAGGTGGGGGTGTGGGCATGCTGCAGTGGAGCGAGAGCAAGGCGGCAGCCATGCGGCGACTGCTGCTCATGAGCCCCCAGGGCAAAGGCAAGGCCAAGGGCAAGGGCTTGGGACTGGGTATGGGTTTGGTCAAGGGTATGGACACGGGCAAGGCTTTGGGCATGGGCATGGGTACGGGTGTGGGTATGGGTTTGGTTGGGGGTGTGCGTGTGGGTATGAGTGAGGACAGAAGCAAGGATGTTACGTGTGTTGGCGGCACAGCAGAACGGATCTCGCTGTCTGGGGGGGTAGTGAGTGGAAGGGAGCAGGCACGTGCATGGCAGGGGTATGAGACGCGGCACAAGGCAGCGGCTGAGCGACAGAGAGGCTGGCAGAGGGCGCAGCAAAATGAGGAAGAGAAAGAGGAAGAGGAAGCGGAAACGGAAGAGGAAGCGGAAGAGTTAGAGGAAGAAGATGAGGAAGAGGAGAGGGAGAGTGCGGGAGCCAATGTGGGAAGGAGGGATGAAAGCAGCAGGGCACTGAGGGGAGGGGGGCAGCGATCCTTGGCGGGGGTTGCTGCTCAGGCGCAGGGGATGGGAAGAGGGGGGGTGCGGAGGGGAAGGGGGGGAGGAGAGAGCAGTGGAGGGGTGGAAATGGCGCGGGGAGGTGCGGATGGGAGACAGGCGGGGCTTGATGCTTGGCTGGGGAAGAGGGGCGGGGGAGAACGAGGGGGCGGGGGAAGCGGGGGAGGCAAGATGACCGGAGTGGATGGGGGGGGACGTGTGAAAGGGAGAGCTGGGGATGGTTCTGCGGAGGACTGTGGGAAGGGGAAAGCAGTGGAGAGTGGCGAGGATGAGAGGGAGGAGGATGAGGATAGTGAGGAGGTAAGGGAAGTGGAGCAGGTAGATGGGGAGGGAGGGGGAATGCAAGTGGAAAGGGGTGTGAGTCACGATGCGGGAAGGAATGATGCTGCCCAATGTGGGGTTGATGGTGGCTTGCAAGAGGCAACCCGGGATGAGTGGGCAGGAAAAAATGTTTTGGATCTGCCCCTGATGACTCAAGAAATGACCCAGGCTGTCCTTCCCGAACTGGTTGGCTCACAACTGCTGCCCGGCACCCAGGTGCCCGGGCAGCAAGAATGCTCTGTGGTGGCTGTGGCAGAGGGGGCAGGGAAGGGGAGATGTTGTGGCGAGCACGCTGGGGAGTTGGAAGGAGAGGAGGGACAAGAGAGGAGCGAGGGAGGGGAGAGGATAGAAGGAATGGAGACGGAAGAGGGGGCTGCATTGGGTGCGAACCGAGTGGCACGGTCAAGGGAAGGGTGGGAGGTGAGGGGCGGAGAGGGCAGCGTGCAGGTGCCGTTTGACATGCAGCGCTTGCAGCAGGTGTGGCGGAGGCGAGCTGAGATGCGGGAGCGAGAGGCTAGGGAGAAGAGGCATGGGAGAAGGGGAGTGGCAGGGCACGGCAAGAGCGAGAGGCAAAGAAGCTTTGCAGCGGCGTCGGTGGCAGATGGTGCGCGTAACCCTGCCCACAGCAGTGGTGGAAGGAAGACTCAGCATGAAGGGGAGGGCAAGGAGGCTGCGTTGGAGGCAGCAGCTAGGGAGCTGGAGCGGCGGTTTGACAAGCACGACTTTGCTAGCATGGCTGTTATTGGCCAGTTCAACCTTGGGTTCATCATTGGACGGCTGGGATCTGATCTCTTCATCGTGGACCAGGTACAGCATGCATCTTGGTATGAGTTACGGCTATACGGTTTCAGCCTTATCTCACTCCTCAGTATGTCCTTCTCTTTACGAACGACCGTCCTTTTCACATGCCATCTCATCCAATTTCCCCCCTTTCCTAATGGCCCATCAGCATGCATCGGACGAGAAGTTCAACTTTGAGCGCCTCATGCAATGCACCGTGCTCAACAGGCAGCCGCTGCTCGTGTGAGTGGGGGGGGGCGTGAGTGGTGGGAGTGAGTGGTACTTATATTGTGTCTTTGAATAATGTCGTTGCGTTTCGTGTGACGGTTGTGCGATCCATGCTGCTTAACAGGCAGCCGCTGCTCGTGTGAGTGTGCATGGTGCGAGGAGTGTGAGTGGTGAGAGTGTGAGTCGTGCGAGTGATAGTGTGAGTGGAGCGAGTGGGAGTGTGAGTAATACTATTCTGAAAGCGTAATTCTATCCCATATTTTCGTCAATTTGTTGTGTCCCGCGCGTATTAGATGTGCAATCCACAGTTGTGAATCAGGAGCCTCTGCACCGCTCAATCCACCTCTGCATGCATGCTGAGCGCTCTGCTTGTCGCTTTTTGCTGCATCCATGGCTTATGTATGGTCCTAGGTGGTGCTCACCTGTTTTCTTCTTTGCTCCCTCTTCTCGTCGTCCCGCTCTCGTTCTTTGATCGTGCTTTGTTGCTAATCTCTGCTTGCTCTCTGCAACTGCCCTGGACTGTCTCTGCAGGCCGCAACGGCTGGATTTGTCACCAGCAGAAGAAGTGATTGTATCGGCACACATGCCCACATTCAGGTGCACACATGCCCACATTCAGGTGCACACATGCCCACATTCAGGTGCACACATGCCCACATTCAGGTGCACACAATAGTCATGTGTGTCATGTGATCGCCCTTTTGATCTCAGACATACATGACAGATAGCTAGTTTTGTCATGTTCCCATCACACACATGCATCACACCTAACCACTCAGTGTAGAGCACACATGTTCTGATTTTCACTTCTACATACTGCCTTGCCACATTACCCAGCTTCTTCTTCCCCTCCTCCTGCACTCCGTTTCTGCCATCCCTTCTTGCAGAGCGTCCATAACCGATTGCTGTGGCCTTTCATGTTCCCACAATTAGACATCTCTCCCTCATGTCCTTCCCTCCTCTTTTTTATACATCATCATCAATCCACCCCTCTCATCATCAGATCCAATGGCTTTCATTTCTCCGTGGATGAGAGTGCTCCATCCGGCCGTCGGTTCCGCCTCTCAGCCGTCCCTTTCTCCAAGAACATCGTATTCGGTGCTTCTGGTGAGTTTGGCCTATGTTAAGTTCATATGCTTTATTTCTCAGGTCTTCAAACACTAATAATCGTCTCTATTGCTGCTACATGCCTTGCTGCCAACATTCATTGCACATACATTCTGCATTTGCGAATACTGTATTTCACCATCTTGCACTTTGCCCCTCTCATCTGATATCGTGTCTCTTCATCCTTTCACCAAAATTTATAAGGTTCCCGTGTTTCCGTTCTTCTGTTCCCTTCCTCCAGATGTGTGTGAGCTGATCTCAATGCTGGCAGACGCGCCCCTACCTGACCCAGAATCACCTGCTGGCTCTGCCTCTGTCACCGACGCTGCCCGCTTTCATGCAACCGCTGCCACAAAAGATGCAATGGGTGGTGCATCTGGTGACAGAAACCACCACGATACTTCGCTGCATGAGAACTCAACAAGCTCTCCGCAACCTGGGCGCAATGAGACAAACAACGAGAGCGGCATGGCTGGGGGTGCTTCTCCAAGAGAAAGGAGGACTGGAGCTGCAGCGGTACCAGCGTCATCACCATCGGCATCGACATCAACGGTTGTGGCGGTGCGGCCATCACGGGTGCGGGCCATGCTGGCTTCAAGGGCGTGCAGGAGCTCTGTCATGATTGGCACGGCGCTCAGCCAGGCCCAGATGAGCAAGGTATGCCGATTCGTTGATCAGTTCAGTACGTTGCGCTTTCGCTGATAAATTCATTCCAGATTTTGTGGCAATATTGACCAATTGTGATACCACTTCTGCATGGTGTTGCAGATCCTTTGCCAGCTGTCAACATTGCAGTCACCTTGGAATTGCCCCCATGGTCGACCAACCATGCGCCACCTGTTTGACTTGAGGCTCTAGGGAAGAACATGCAAGACATCGATATACAATAAGGGCTTGGGATTTGCTGTTGTTTCACGAGTAGCATGTACGGAAATATAGAACCGTACATGACATCAATTGTGTAAATAAAGACGCATAATCATCATAAGATGGAATCATGTACTCTGGCTATTTCTGGTTAAGAGATATATCACCTTAACTCAAGCTTCTGGAAACAATCATACTCTTACGCAGCAACGAAGCGGTCAAATCGAGGTGCTGTTCTGCACAGCCGCCGAGGAACATGGGAGGGAGGAACTAGGGAAGGAAGGTGGAAGGAACGATTAGCGCCTATCGAACATTCCAGAAGCTCCCTCTCTGTTAGATTTCCGCAGCACGGTAGCCGATTCCTGTGCTCCTCCCGAATCAAGCACTCACGGCCGAGTCGCACAAATTTGAATTGCGGTTCACGCATCGCATCGCATCGGCCGAAGTACTACGGTATATAAAGGAACGAGTCCTTTCCATCGTCATCAAACAATTTGTCAAACGCCAATCACACTTGCAATATTGCTCACATAAGGACTTACGCTTTGATTAGCATTCCTGATAAATCATCGCAGGTCGATCAGCTGTTTAGAGTTTCCCGACTTCACTCGACTTCCCGCTGCTGACAAGCTGAGATTAGTTGCGCTTCATCTTCTACGTTCGACTTCAATCCGCGAATCCCAATGGCTCCCACCAACAACTGCGCGTGCGGCAGCGCCTGCGCCTGCAGCAACAACGCATGCGCCTGCAAGACGACAACCGCCGCCACTTGCGCCTGCAGCAACGGCGCCGAGTGCAGGTGCGGCCCGGGCTGCGCGTGCGACTCGTGCACGTGCCGCTCCGCTGGCAGCGCCGGAGGAACCAGCGTAGGGTGCGGCGGAAGTAACGCGAGCGCCGGCACTTGCGCTTCTGGCGGGAGCTGCTGCTGCGGGGCAGGCTGCTCCGGCGCGGGCTGCGCGTGCGGGGGGCAGGCGGGAGGGAAGTGCGCGTCCGGGGCTAACTGCAGCTGCGGAGAGGGCTGCTCAGGCGCCGGGTGCGCTTGCGGAAATGGAGGATGCGCGTCTGGAGCTAACTGCCGCTGTGGGGGGAGCTGCTCTGGCGGCGGGTGCGCTTGCGGGGAGACTGCGGGGATAAGTGCTCAGGCTCAGGATGTTCCTGCGGAAAGTAGGTTTCAGGATGAATGTGCTGTGACAGTGCGGTGTTGCACACAGCGGCATAAGATGTGCGGCTAGTGAAGCTTTCCAGGTGCCCTTTGGATGTGTGTTCTGTATGGAGTATTGAAATGGATTTCAAATTTCAAACCAACAATCTGGGTGACTAGTTAGCTAACAACCCAACCCACCATTCCTCCTCTCGTCTGACTTGTTCTCTCCAACTGTCTGACCGTGACCCTGCCTCGCGGGCAGCACACTATACACTGGCACTCTGAACACCTGCTAGAGGACCTTGGAGAGAATCCTGTCCCCTAGACATACAGAACAGTGAAGCCATTGGGAGTTCATGCCCCTACTTGACAGTGGCGTTCACAATGGTGGATGTGCAGGGCCCTGCTGACGTCATCATGGGCGTGTCCTGGAACATGGCCACCCCCGTGCCGTCCGTGCGCAGAAACTGATGGGGTGCACGGGAGGAAAGAAAGGGGAAGTGCACGGGAGGAAAGAAAGGGGAAGTGTACGGGAGGAAAGAAAGGGGAAGTGCATGGGAGGAAAGGGAGGGGGAGGGGAAGTCGGAGGATCATCATAATGAGTGTGTCCTGGAACATGGCCAACCCCGTGCCGTCCGTGCGTAGAAACTGGAGGGGCGCACAGGCAGGGTAAGAGAGGTGACGGGGTGCACGGGGTGACAAGACGAGGAATGGGGGGACGGAAGATTGTCATCATAAGCGTCTCCTGGAGCCTGACCAACCCCGTGCAGTCCGTGCGCAGAAACTGGAGGGGCATACAGGCAGGGCAAGGGAGGGGACGGGGTGCAAGTGGAGTGAGGGAAAAGGGGAGACGAAATATCATCATCATGGGCATGTCTTGGAACCTGACCAACTCCTTATTGTTCGTGCACAGGAAGTCTTGGGGTGCAGGGGAGGGGGTGGGGGGGCATGGAAGGCTCAGAGGGGGCAAGGGAGGTCGAAAGGGCTGAGGGGGCCAATGTTGCTAAGTGGGGACACTGGAAAGTGGATGTGGGAAGTTAGGGGGATGCAACGACATGCAAACTATGGGACACAAGAAGGCACGGGGCAGAGAGACAAAGGTCTGCAATGGCTGTAGCAGCAGCAAGGCACGCACCGGCTGGAGCTTCTCAAAGAGCTTCTTCTTGGGGTTGAGCACCTCCTCTGGCTTGCCGTCCACTCTGTGTCATGCGGGATTGGACACGTTGAAGGGTAAGGTGGGTGGGGTACAAGGTGGTGGGTATGGGGGAATTAGCAGGTGGGGCCGCAACATGTGTGGGGGCAATGGTGGGTGGAGGTATGAGGGAGGGATGAAGAGGAGAGGGTGAAAGGCGGAATTCTCGCCAATTGCTGCTGCCCCTTGGCCCTAACATTAGCGAGACCCTCCACTTGCCCACTCTCTACCTCCCTCCCTGACCACACCCTGTTGTCTGCCCTTGTCTCACTTCCCTGTTTCCCCGTTATCATTCTTCACTCCATTCTCCTTTTCCTGATTGCCCGCCTTCCCGTCCATACCCTCTGCCTTTTCTCTAGCTCTATTTCCATCGTCCCCGCCTCACCCATCGAACGTGATCTTCTCGCCGATGGCAGCCCCCTCTGGCGGTTGCACGGGGCGGCACACGGTATGGTCCTCGTTGGACGCACACAGCACCTGCCAGCCACACGGATAGGGGGGTTGGAGGGAGCAAAGGCGGGGAGGTGGCATTTGGTCGACTTAAGAGCTCTCGGGCTGTAGCACAGGGCGGAACACTGTGTGGTCAGCGTTAAATGCACAGAGCACGTGAGAACCATCGGGGGTGGAGGGAGGAGTGGGGTGCGGGGAAGAGGGAAACGGGGTGAAGTGGGGCTGGGGTGGGAGGACGGCGAGAGGTGCGGATCTTGTGACAGCACGAGGGCGGCCGCTGATGGGCGCGGAGAAGAAAGAAAATGCACAGAAAACGCATACCAGAAGATTGACTAACATGTGGAGGAGATTGTGGATGCTTCAACTACTTCCCCACCTCACACAGTACAGCAGTTGCAGTAGCAAAGGGCTGGATAGGCAGTATGCACCCATCAGGGGGCGTATCCGTTCTTCAACCACTTGTCAACGGGACATGGCGGTTTGCAGGAGGAGAGAGAGAGAGGCTTCATGCACGTACCAGGCCGGCCGATACGACGTCCCTCACTTTCCCCGGCTTCACGTTTGTGAGCACCACCACGCGCATGCCCTGCATGCAGTCACAGCACGCGTACACATGGAGGGAAAAGGAAGGGCTGCGGGTCAGTGCTCTGCACTCGCTGCTGTCACTCTCTCTGGTTTCACATTACCCGCATGCCCTGCTCGCTCACATGGAGAAAACAAAGGACTGCTTGCACAGGACAAATGGAAAGCAGAAGAGAGGAAGAAGGGTAAGAGGATACGATGTCGCGTAGGCTTCCAGCTGACCCACCACCACCACCTTTCTCACCATCACCCCTCTTCTTATCCTTCCCGCTTCTCATCATCAACCCCCCCCTCCCCTCTTGCCATTATCTTGTCCTCCGTGGCGAACTTGACCAGCCCACTTACCACCAGCTCACATTGCCTGGCCAGCTCACTTGATGCGCATTCACCCACACCTTGACTCCAGGCTTCTCATCTCGTCCTCTGTGACGAACTTGGCGAGCCCACTGACCACCTGCCGCACACTGCCCTCGCCCACGTCTATCTCCTCCACGTACAGCCTCCAGAGGAAGAGGGGAGGGAGAGGATGAGAGATGAGGAGAGACATGCATGCAGCAAAGCATGGGCTTGTTGCACGCACTGCCCTCGCCCACGTCTATCTCCTCGTATAGTCTGCAGGGGAAGAGTGAAGGGAGAGGAGGAGAGGAGACGAGAGGAGAGGAGAGGCGAGGTGAGGCAAGGCGAGGTGAGGCAAGGCGAGGCGAAGCGAGGAGCGGTGAGGAGCGGAGAGGGGAGGAGAGGGGAGGGGAGGGGAGGGGAGGGGAGGGGCGGGGCGGGGCGGGGCGGGGCGGGGCGGGGCGGGGCGGGGCGGGGCGGGGCGGGGCGGGGCGGGGCGGGGCGGGGCGGGGCGGGGCGGGGCGGGGCGGGGCGGGGCGGGGCGGGGCGGGGCGGGGCGAGTAGTGTGAGGAGTGGTGACATGGTACTGCAGCAACAATGATTCACTACGAATATTTGTTCTTGGCTGGGAGCACGGGGCTGGGGGCAAGAGGCTGGGAGGCTGGGAACAAAAAGGCAGGGAGCAAGGAGCACTTTTGAGAATTCTCAATAGTGATTCAGATGGAGTAGGAAGCTAGAGGGTGGGAGCAAGAGGTGCTTACGCGTCTGCATTGGGGTGTTTCCACACTTTCTTGATCTGCCCCACTCGTATGTCCAATATGCCCACACTCACGTCCGCCCCCTTCCCTCCCCCTCCACCCGCCCCTTCCTTCGCTTCACCCTTCTTCTCCTCCCCCTTGCCCTTCTTCTCTTCCTTCCCCCTTCCCCTTGCCTGCCGCATCACCCTGATAGAAGCAGAGGGAAGTGGGATATGGAAGACGCAATGGTTTCAAGCTCACATGGTTGGCAGCATGGTCACAACGTGATCGTTTCGTGAGTCACATGCATTGCGTTGGTCACACTGTTTCCTTCAGCTTCAGTTCCCATCCCATGCACTGCGTTGGTCAAGTATTCGCTTGGTGCTCGGTTCAAGGATCTGCGCAACAAGTGTGCTGCACTGCAGCATGGCAAGATCTTTTAAGCGTCTCAAGAATCACAAAACACGTGCGCTGTATCCCCTTCCTCCCACCATGTGTCTACACAACACATTCCTTGCAGCAATGGCGGCTTGGGCTTGCCGAGAAACACAGCCTTGCCATAGCCACAAGCCTCTTATAGTTTAAGCACCAGGTAACACCACACACGCTCGTCACCACACACATTCCCTTCACACATTCCCTTCACACATTCCCTTCACACATTCCCTTCACACATTCCCTTCACACATTCCCTTCACACATTCCCTTCACACATTCCCTTCACACATTCGCAAGACTGAGTCAAACACAGACGCCTCTCTCACCTGTGGTGCGGCGGTGGTGGAAGGGGCAGCAGCCAGAGCAGCTGCTGCTGCTGGTGAAGACTCTGCCGGGGCTGCAGCTGCCTTCCCCGCTGCTGCTGTGGAAGGCTTGGCACCTCCCGAACCTGATGACTGGCTCGGCTGCGCTGCAGGTTTGGCAGGAAGAGGAACCGGTGCCTGATATGGTGGAATCAGAAGAGTATGCCATGCACGCCATACATGCCATACATCCCATCCGACACATGCCACACATGCCATACATGCCACACATGCCATACATGCCACACATGCCACACATATCATACATGCCATACATGTCACACATATCATACATGTCACACATGCCACACATGCCACACATGTCACACATGCCATACATGCCACACATATCACACATATCATACATGTCACACATGCCATGCCATGCAGCACATGGATCACAATAGCACATGCTAGTGAGCGTCCAATGTTGGGTGAGCCCGTGAGTCCAAACCAGCAGAGAGCTTGGAACGGAAGCGGGTCGTTTTGAAAGGATCCCCTTGGAAGCAGGCCATTGAAAGCCGAGTCGAGCCAAGCAAATGGCAATGACGAGCACAGCAGAAGAAACCAAGCCAGCAGCAGGATGAAAAAAACCACTACACAGTCATTTGCCCTATAATTTTGCCTGCGTATGTGAGCCAGCCGATGCGCACACTCAATGCTTTTGTGTGCGTGTGGGTGCAGTGCACGTGTGTGTGTCTATGCGCATGCCCACACAAACGCGTATGCGCATGTGAGTGCACATGCACTGGCTGAGCGGCACTCACAGGCGGGTCGAACTTAGCAGTGTTGGCAGTGACAGGTGCGAGAACGCCCGACACTTGCCCCACATGCTCCTCTGTTGCTAGCTACATGTGCTCCTCCGTTGCTAGCTACATGTGCTCCTCCGTTGCTAGCTACATGTGCTCCTCCGTTGCTAGCTACATGTGCTCCTCCGTTGCTAGCTACATGTGCTCCTCCGTTGCTAGCTACATGTGCTCCTCCGTTGCTAGCTACATGTGCTCCTCCGTTGCTAGCTACATGTGCTCCTCCGTTGCTAGCTACATGTCTGCGTGCGTCTATCTACCCTCTCCATGCACGCACAGGCGGGTCGAACTTGGCAGTGTTGACAGTGATGTGCGAGAAGGTCTCCCGCACATGCCCTTTGTGCTGCACCAGATCAATCCAGCGCATGAGGTGCGGCAGCTCGTCCCTGTCACACGGCGTCACCAGCAGCTGCAGGGAGAACAGTACACACAGGTGCAGAGGCGCAGGCGGAAGGGTGAAGCGGAAGGCAGGGGTGCGGAGAGGAGATTAGTGAGTGCTTGGTGCACTTGCACATGCCCGTGCCCCCGTGCTCTGCAGGTGGTCAATCCAGCGCATGAGGTGAGGCACACACGGCGTCAATCCCTCGTGCCTGTCACACGGCGTCACCAGCAGCTCCAAGGAGAACACACACGTGGGATAAGGGAAAGGGAGGAGCCCGAAGGCAGGTGAGGAAGGAGGAAAAGGCAAAGACGCAGAGAGCGGTAAGTGGTGCACACACCCCCAGCATGTGCATGTGCGTGTGCATGTGGGTGTGGTGTGGCATGGCATGTGCTTGTGTATGTGCATGAGCATGTGCTTGTGTATGTGCATGAGCATGTGCTTGTGTATGTGCATGAGCATGTGCTTGTGTATGTGCATGAGCATGTGCTTGTGTATGTGCATGAGCATGTGCTTGTGTATGTGCATGAGCATGTGCTTGTGTATGTGCATGAGCATGTGCTTGTGTATGTGCATGAGCATGTGCTTGTGTATGTGCATGAGCATGTGCTTGTGTATGTGCATGAGCATGTGCTTGTGTATGTGCATGAGCATGTGCTTGTGTATGTGCATGAGCATGTGCTTGTGTATGTGCATGAGCATGTGCTTGTGTATGTGCATGAGCATGTGCTTGTGTATGTGCATGAGCATGTGCTTGTGTATGTGCATGAGCATGTGCTTGTGTATGTGCATGAGCATGTGCTCACCATCACATGCATACTGGGCACTGCCGCACTTCAGATTCTTGCAACCACACCACCAAGCCCATTCCCATGCCCATGCCCATGCCCATGCCCACTCCCATGCACATGCCTGTTCCCATGCACATGCCCGTTCCCATGCACATGCCCATGCCCATTCCCATGCCCATTCCCATGCCCATTCCCATGCCCATTCCCATGCCCATTCCCATGCCCATTCCCATGCCCATTCCCAAGCACATGCCCGTTCCCATGCACATGCACATGCCCATGCCCATGTCCATTCCCATTCCCATTCCCATGCTCATGCCCAGTAAACCGCCACGTCATCATGAACCCACCACGTCATCATGAACACCACCACGTTATGATGACGTCATCATGAACCCACCACGGTCCACGTCATCATGAACCCGTCACGTCATCATGAACCCACCACGTCATCATGAACCCACCACGTCATCGTGAACAGCACCAAAGACTGCAATGTCAGCCAATGTGATCGCGACACCTGGCCCCACGAGCACAGAGCGGGGAGTCAGGTAGGCGTTGAGAGCACGCAGGCGAGGGAGAGGGTCCAGTACAGCAGCTGACGTGGATGCTGATGGGCACGCTGACGTGGCAAGGGAGGCCAGGGAGCCGACGACCCAGGGATGGCGAAGCCACTGAGTCACCTGTTGGGGCGGATGAGGGGGAAAGGGGTGGAGAGGGGATAGAAAAGAATGGGGGAAGAGGAAGGGTAGGGAGAGGTAAGGATGACATTCTCTTATTCTCTCCAACCCCCCCCCCTCTCCCCCATTACACACTCTTCAAACCGGACTTCCTTCCTATTCCAGGGCCCTGCATCCCTTCGATACCCTCTGCCTTGCACTACGCTCTCAACCTTCCTCCACCTCACCCTCCCCCTCCCAACCCCCCACCTTTCCACCCCCCCTGAAACCATCCCTGCCTCGCCCCCTTGGGCACTGCCACCTGATCCGCCCCTCCCCTCGCCTCAGCACGTGCAGCGCCATCTGCCCCCCATCCCCAGCACAGCCACCCCTGCTAAAACACCTCCCGCCTTGCCCTTTTGCGTGCACGCCATCTGCCGCTGCCCTCACCTCTGCGCGCGCAGCGCCATCTCTCCCCAGCATCGCATTGGCGGCGTCGCCTCCAGCAGCCAACGCCAGAGCCGCCCACACGGCTGTAGCGCCCGCTACAGCCTGGTTGCTGGCCGCGCTGACGAGGGAAGGGGCGGCCTGCAGGAGGGAGGGGGAGGCGGGAAAGGAGGAAACGGGAGCACGGGAAAAGCGGGAGGCATTGGATAAACTGTTCTGTAGCAACACCTATGCGAGCGAGCGAGGGATTCCATCGGGACCAACGAAGCGCGCGGTTCTCAGCGGCCTCTCTTCTTCGCTTGAAGAGGCTGACGCGTAGGCCATCAGCGCGTTCTGATCGTCCTCCCATGGAACCCGGCACTGGGAATCTCACGCAGATTCTATTTTCGCACCGACGAACAACGCAAGCCTTCGCATTTCACGAGAGGCTTGAATCCCCACCTTGTGACACCTCGGCTAGCAAGGGTTATAAAAACCCTCTACCTCTCTCGTATGCACCGATGGCGAACTGCGAAAGTGAAAATATCCATACAAACCAACGGATCGGCCCAACATGCAGCGGCGGCTAGATGGCTTGACGATCAGCCGCATCGACACGGCCCAATGCGCTACCGCCAGCACTGGGCGACTGATCGACGATTTGTAAATGCCTTCGGAAACGGCCCGGTGGCACTGGAGGTTCTAAGATCCATACGTGCAACTTAATCTGTTAAGTTAAGAGTACCTGATCGGCTGCGGCCTGCACGACGTCCACTGAGAGTCCGCCACGTGCCTTGCACCAATTTGCCACGGCTATCGCTGTTCTCGACGCTACGTCTTTCCCGGCCGTGAGAGTCACTGCCGCGGCGCCTTGCGACTGCTCGGAGGGAATTCCCATTGCGGCGGTTTTAGCGGGAATGAAAGCCTGATTGTCAGACTGTGAGCAGGGCAGAATTTATAGAATGGAACCGAGGTTCCTCGTAAATTGAAACTAGTGGGAACTATCTGTCGTCGTCACAATAAAACCCGTTTCCATCCAATAACTTCTTTAGAGCGTTTGTTGCGGTGTAGCTGGGGGAATAGGTGAAGGCTGAAGCAATTCTCCAAGAGTTTAACTGAATGCTGTCGGATGAGTTCCTGTACGTTCAACAACGGTCAAAATGTTTATTTTGTCGGCTTGAGCGAACTTTTGAAAATTCCCCGTCACGCCATACCATACCACCTCATTGGGAAGGGGAGTGACAGGCATGACGCCCGTGATTTTCGCAAGCTGACTGGATGAAGTGGATCACGCCAGCGCCAGGCCTCACGGATTACACTCCACAACCCGCAAAGACAAATCCCAAGGGAATGCGTTGCCCGAGGTGTCTCGAGAAATGGTTTCCCAAGGCAAGGCGGAGCGGCGACGAAACGACCCTGGGCGTCATTCCCCATGACTGCACGGCACGGCAGTGAGTCGAATCGAACCGCGAGTCGCGACATTCCCAGGACATGCGAGTGTCGTCGTCCGTCAACTTGCTAAAGCTGCAGCTGCAACTGCGTTTTGTACGTCCGATCGATCTGTGAGCCTTATCGAACGGCTTAGCGGGACCAAACGACTTGATTTTTTCGCGAGCTGGGCTCACCAGCCTTGAACTGCCATGGGTGGAATTCCTACCGCCCAGCTAATAGAATCTTGGGATTTGCTGTCCGGTTGCAAGAAGCGATTCTGTTCCTTGGCGCGGAGCGGCGCGTCTTACGAGACCTGTCACTCTATCTCGTGCCGACAGCATTAGTCATAGGATCTTGCGTGCGAATTCGTTCCGAGTATGGTGGTTCCACCAGTGGCGGTATTACCAGGGGCGATAGACACCCGCGTTCGCGAGCTAAACACTCCGCTTTCTGAGGGAAGATTCTCGCTGACCGACCCTCACAACCCCTGCAAGCATGCTTACAAAAGTGTTCGAAACGTCAGGCTAATTTCCCCAGGCGACGGTCGCCGAATATTGTCCTTTTGCGAGGAAGCATTCCGAAATACACTTCCGGGGAACTTTGGAGTTGGAGGAAGGAAAGAAAGAGGGATTAATGGTCCGTGATTTGTTCTCTGGAACGCACCAAGTTCCTTCCGCATTCTGCATCTCATGGCTTCGTTGGACAATGGGAATCTGGAATTCGAGAACCCCTCCTTCTCCCTCCCCGCCTTCGGGTGCTTCTTCACTGACAGTGCAGCGGCTGCCGCTGGGTACTACCAGAGTCCTCAAGCACTCGCAGGCGAGAAGTATGCGCGGGAAACACTTGAGAGCGAAACATTAGAGAACGAATCGCTTGAGCAGCAGACGCATGAGGAGAGGCAGAGGCATGAGAAGCTCGAGAGGGAGACGCACGCGAGGGAGAGGCGCGAGAGGGAGACGCATGAAAGGGAGACGCATGAAAGGGAGACGCGTGAAAGGGAGAGTCGGTCATCAATGTCGAACAAGAAGAGCCGTCTGAGACAGCAGTCAGCCATTCTGCAACGACGAGGTGAGGCCCCCTACCCTCCTCCCCGCTCCCCTTCTCTTGGGAAACAACCTTGGGTTTGGTGTGCTGACAGCAGCCCCTCTGCTCAGTCATGTTGAAATTATAATGAGAGCAATGAGGTGTGTTGAGACCAGCAATTCTGCTCTTTCATGTTGCATCCGCAATAATTGGTTGGTTGTGTCGACATCAGCTCCTGCTATGTCATAGTGCAACCGCCATGACCTGTTGGCTGTGCTGAGCTGATACCTCCTGTTCATGTCAGCCATTGTTCCCTACTATCAGTACACCTCATGGTCGCTCTACTCCACTGTTCCATGGCCAGGACGCAATGCAGAAGCCGCTCGAGACCTCCCTCCTCCTGCCACTGCTGCAACTGCCAACACGGCTGCCACTGCCGGCACTCAGGGCGGGTATGGCAGTCTAAGTGGTGCTGTCCCTCCAGCGACTGAGGGGAAGGCAGCAACAAGGCAGCGGGGAGGCGGCGTGAGCAGCCAGAGGAGCTCCATCTACCGCGGAGTGACAAGGTGGGGGCTCTTGTCTGGTATACCTCTCCATCCACCTCTTGGCTCCCATATAAAACATCTGTGAAGGTTATAGTTGATTCTGTCGTCGTTCAATGGGACTTGCCGCCTCGTGTCGTGATGATAATCCAGTGTTGACGCGCCTGGAAACTGAAACACTCAGGTCAGTGGCTTTCACTATTGGAACACGTGTTTATGGGTTTCTTGGCAGACATTGCTGGACAGTGCGCTATGAGGCTCACTTGTGGGATAACTCGTGCTGCAAAGGTGGCGTCAGGTGTATTCTGAGTCGACTCGACGCACGCCTATCTCTGTCTGAATACATGTCTATGTGTGTGCTGGCAGGCACCGCTGGACTGGACGCTATGAGGCTCACCTGTGGGATAACTCGTGCCCCAAGGAGGGCACCAACAAGAGAGGCCGCCAAGGTGCGTCTGCTCTTGGATTCATGGATTTCTGTATTTTGTTCCTTCCTGTATCCTGGGTAAACTTTCACAACATAAACCTTCATCTCTAACTGTCTATCCATGGACTTCATGTTGTGTGCCTGCACCTTCCCTGCCCTGCAGTCTACTTGGGTACGTACTACGCTGCTTCTTTGAGTTGGTACATCAAGCTCCAGCTCAAATTTCTCCCTCAGTGAAATGGGTGTGACCAGGCTTCTTTGAACTGCAGGAGGGTACGACGATGATGAAACGGCTGCCAGGGCGTACGACCTTGCTGCTCTCAAGTACTGGGGTCCCACCGCTGCCACCAACTTCCCTGTACGTCGACATGACTGGTGTGACTGGTTAGCCCATCTTTCATGCACTTCCCTTACCGCACACGACCTTGCTGCTCTCAAGTACTGGGGTCCCACCGCTGCCACCAACTTCCCTGTACGTCGACATGACTGGTGTGACTGGTTAGCCCATCTTTCATGCACTTCCCTTACCGCACACGACCTTGCTGCTCTCAAGTACTGGGGTCCCACCGCTGCCACCAACTTCCCTGTACGTCGACATGACTGGTGTGACTGGTTAGCCCATCTTTCATGCACTTCCCTTACCGCACACGACCTTGCTGCTCTCAAGTACTGGGGTCCCACCGCTGCCACCAACTTCCCTGTACGTCGACATGACTGGTGTGACTGGTTAGCCCATCTTTCATGCACTTCCCTTACCGCACACGACCTTGCTGCTCTCAAGTACTGGGGTCCCACCGCTGCCACCAACTTCCCTGTACGTCGACATGACTGGTGTGACTGGTTAGCCCATCTTTCATGCACTTCCCTTACCGCACACGACCTTGCTGCTCTCAAGTACTGGGGTCCCACCGCTGCTACCAACTTCCCTGTACGTTACACACACGTGACAGCTTTGCAGAAAAATCTCCATGCTACTCCTTTACGGCACACAACCTTGCTGCCCCGGGGTGCCAGCCATGGCTGCTCAACTTCCCACCTGTCTGGGTTACTCGAGCAGTTTACTCTCATTTCCGTCTCTTCCTGTTTTACTCTGACCAAGGAGTCACCAGGTGCGTGCAAGCAGCAAGGAGTCATCAGTTACAGTAAGGGGGGGGCGGTAGGATAGAGGCGGGGGGTGCTCTATGGTCGCTTTGTTCTCCTGTGAAGAAAGAAACACCCATCCTCCCCTTGGCCGTGGTGCAGGCATCATCAGCATGGGCGGTGGGAGGCGCGGATAGGGCGAGTGATGGGCAACAAGTACCTCTACCTGGGGACCTTCGGTGAGTGGCGGGTGGGGGGTGGTGTGGGTGAGTGGGAGTGGTGTGCGGGAGGTGAGGAGACTGTGATGGAGATTGTTATGGATACTGTCATGAGCAGCTAGTACCTCTCTACCTGCGGACCTTCGTTGAGACGGAAATGGAGAGGTGGAGAGCAGTGTGTGGGGAGGGGGTGGTGTATGGGGAGTGGTGTGTGGTGTGGTGTCTGGTTTTGGGGTGCCTTGTGGCACGCGGTAATGTTGACGTATGTTGCCTACAGCCACACAGGAGGAGGCAGCGGATGCATACGAGGGCTCAATGCGGTTACCAACACTGACCTGCCACACTCATCAGATGCTTTCCCTCTCATGTCTTGATGCATATGTGCAGCCACGCAGGAGGAGGCAGCAGAGGCATACGACATAGCCGCAGTGAAGTACCGAGGGCTCAATGCGGTTACCAACTTTGACCTCAGCCGTTACATCGATGGGCTCAGCTCTCAAGCGGACGACCCTCAACTAGCGGAGGTAATATCACAAAATGACCATGTACACGTTTCTTTTTTGTAAGCGCATGACAAACTTATACTGAAAACAGAGAGCTTATGTTTGAGTGTTTTATCTTCTACAGGAACCAGTGAAGGCGGATTCTGCAGTGCAGCAGGCGATCTCGGACCCGGTTCCACAGTTCCTCCCATTCCAAAGCGACCATGCAGCTGTGTGCTTCACTCAAACAGCATCAGTTGACCTGAGCGCTCCCCTGCCCCTGCCCCTGCATTCATCGCACATGCTGTCAGCAGGCACGCCAAACATGGTACGTTTGTTGGCATCATAAAATACGAAATGAGTGTCTGCTGTGTGCTGCTTTCAAGCGGCATCAGTTGACCTCAGTGCTCCCCTGCCCCTTCTGGGCCTGCCCCTGCATTCAACGCACACGCTGTCAGCAGGCACACTGAACATCGCATGTTTGTTCGCATCGTGGAATTTACTACCTTGTTAACTTGCATTCCTATGTGTTCTATAGTGAGCAGTAGGTGTGCATAAACTCTTTTACTGCTGAGCTCTCTGATCGATGAGCTGTTGTGCACACATTGAATATTCCCATGGCAGGTGCCATTGTACAGCCAGCAGAGCATAGAGGCGGACCAGCATCATCACGATGGCAGGCTGCTCCCAAGCTTTGCTGCTTGGTACGACGACCTGAGCTCCGACATTGGCTAGGTAATGCCACTGTTGTCACTGCTGCTGTCACATTTGATACCTTTTTAAGGCGATTGAAGCACAGCCAAGCTTTGCTGTTTAATACGGAGACCTGAGCTCCGGCATTGGCTAGATGCAGCCGCCGCTGCTGTGATCTGGAGTGGAATGTACCAATGTATGCCAATTGATGAGTATCCTATTGGTTCAATTTGAGTTTCAGTACCACCTGAAACTTGGACAAGAAAACATGTGTACATTGATTATGCACGAGAAGAGGGACAGATGAAGATTGTACAAACTCAGATAGGGAGGATTCAGCAAGGCAAAAAAAGCAAAAATAAATAATGATCAGCGTAATTTTGTTGAAATCTGAGGCCCTGCTTGTTTTTAGCATGCTTTGTTGATAAATGTGAGATTTGCGGATATTATGTTAACCTGTTAACATTTGATAAGAAACGCTATCTTGTTGCACACTATTGGAAAGAGTCGAGGCGATCCATATGGGAGAAAGAACTAGCAGAACCACCTTCCCCTCCCGCTCCTGCATGTACTGTACCTCTCGCGCCGCGATGACTTGGAGGTTGGAGGCATGAGCTCAGCAGCGACAAAGCAGCCCAACCCAACCCATGAATCATCTGCTTGGTTGCAGCTGTGAAATTCGCCCCCACAACAACCCTTGGAGCATTGGTAGATTAGCCGCGTTCTTGCCAAGAAAGCCCTCGTATTTTCTTCACCTTTCTGCCTTCAAGATTTAAAATTACTCGGTTTACTATTCGCCTTAATTGCTTGCTACAATTGTTGTGCCCCACCGCCTTCTAAAGCCGCCGCCATGGCGCCGCCGACCAGCGGGAGTGCGGGCCCGCGCCGTCCGCGCGCAGATCGCGCTTTAGAACCGGCGCATGCGCGAGACGACCAGATTTTAGCAGAACTCCCACCGCGTCCGGCGAACTTGACGGCGGCGACAAATGCCCCTGCGGTTGCGGCGGCGCAGAAGGCGATCCAATTTTCCGCGGCGGCGCCGGATGAATTCTATGATGAAGCGGAGGATGGGGAGGAGGAGGACGGGAGCGAGTTTCTGGAGCGCGCGCGGAGCCACCAGTGTTAGGGTTGGTTCGCCCAACCACGGAACCTACGGCGAAATGCGGAATGACGGCGAAATGGAGCGCGTGGGAGATTTTAGATCTAAGACGGTGGAAATCGACCTACGGTGGAGAATAGAAGCTACGGCGTGAGAAGCGGGAAGGAAATCGAGAAGGAATGTGCAGGAAGGAGGAATAGAGAAGGAGAAGCATCGAGAATGAGATCGACGGGGGAAATTGTGGTTCGAGCTTGAGGCGCGTTCGAGAAGGTTCGAGATTCGGACTCAAGAAGTGTTCGGTGCATTCGGTTCAGTTCCGTGTGCGACTCGGGGTGAAACGAGGCGCACGCGGTTACTTGGGAAACAAGTGAAGTTACGAATCGCATTTTGTGTCTTGCCTGACTATAAAACTGCTTGTACTCATTCTGGAAAACACAACATTGGACAACATTGAGATTCTGAATTTGCTGAAGTGTGTATTGACAACTTCAAGCAGAGCTGCGCATATCGTTGGATTTGGGAGATCGTGGAGAACACGATAAGCAATAGCAAGTAGACTATTGCCAACTAAGGTGTTTACGATCCTAAGAACCAGGAGGCGGAGGACGAGCGCGCGTACGAGCCGGAGGAGCAGATCGACGTGTCGCGCTACAGCCTGCCGTTACAGACGCCGGGCGGCAAAGAGGGTGAGGGGCTGGGCGGCTGACACTGGTTGGTGCGCGATAGCCCTCCCTCTCCCCTCCCCCCCCCTGCTCTCCCATCCCCCTGCCCGGCGCTCCCCCTCCTCCGCCCTCCCCGTGCTCTTTCCTCCCCCTGCTCCCCCTTCCTATGCGCCTGGACCCACTACACCCTGTCCCCCATACAGACACCCGTCGCTTCTCGTACCCCTTTCCATGCAACCACCCGCTACACCCCATCCCCCATACAGACACGTTTCGGTTCTCGTGGCGGCGCTTCTGCGTGTTCGTGGGGCCAGGCTTCCTCATGAGCATCGCGTATCTGGATCCAGGCAACCTCGAGAGCGACCTGCAGGCGAGCCCCTCACAGCGGTGACGGGGTGAGTGGGGTGATGTGAGCAGTGGAGTGGCTTCCTCATGAGCATCGCATATCTGGACCCGGGGAACCTTGAGAGCGACCTGCAGGTGATTTCTGGGGCCGGTACAGGTGGGTGGGGGGAGCAGATGAGGGGGAAACTGGGGTGGCTTCCTCATGAGCATCGCATATCTGGACCCGGGCAACCTCGAGAGTCACCTGCAGGTACTATATTTGCAGGTGAGCCCCGTATTGCAGGGATACAGATGGTAAAGGAGGGCAGTGGGGCGGCTTCCTCATGAGCATCGCGTACCTGGACCCAGGCAACCTCGAGAGCAACCTGCAGGTGCGGGGATACACTTGGCAGTTGATTGAGTTGGCGGGCGAAGGGGACAGATGATGGGGGCAGTGGAGTGGCACTTTGATGAGCATTGAGTAGTTCGATCACGGCAACCTCTAGAGCGATTAGCAGGTGAGGGGGGGAGGCGAGGGAAGGAGGAGGAAGTGCACGTGACGTGTGCTTGGTGCATGCTACCCTGTGCTGCCACTTGTATTGTCACTGGCAAACAAGTAAGCAGCACCCCTGATGTGCACGTACAGCCTTTGAAAATGTTTTGAAATGCTTCTTGCGCCCGTCGTTTCCCCGCCCTTCCAACGTGCATGTGTGTGCTGCATGGCAGGCAGGTGCACAGACGGGGTATGCGCTGCTCTGGATCCTCTTCTGGTCCACCGCACTCGGCCTGCTGCTGCAGGTGAGCGTCGTTGCTGGGCCTGTCTGCTGCTGCAGGTACGCGTGTCAAAAGATTTTTGCCTCGCAACACACGCCCCCGCCTTCCAGCTTCACCTCTTGCTTCTCAGCGGGGGCACCACAGGCAGAGCACCTGCTTCTCTCTTCATTTCCCCAGCACCACACACTTAAGAAACGTCTGAAACGAAACACACGCTTCATACTCGCCCTTCATCCCCCACCAACCCACCCCATCCAGGCCATAGCAGCACGAGTGGGCGTGGTGACGGGGTGCCATCTAGCGGAGCTGTGCCGAATGGAGTACTCCCCCCCCGTGCGCTGGGTGCTGTGGGGCTACGTTGGCAGATACGCCTTGGGCAGGGTTGCGTACCACGTAATACGCTTGCGTATGTACGTGGTACGCTAATACTCTCGTATTTCTTGAAAATACGCCCGGGCAGCCCGCCGAAAAAAAAAAATCGAAATTGAAAAATTTTGCGAAGGTTTTGCGACTTCGCGACATGTTACCGCGAAGTCGCACATCGCCCAACCGACTTCTGGAATTCAAATTTCGAGCTCCAAACCTCCCACCACCCCAACCACACACCACCCCACCAAACCTCTCATCTCCAACCATCCCTCTCAAATGTTGTTCAGCAACTCGTCTGCTTATATAATGGATGACGAGTTCCTTTGTGTCATTCAGTTTCCGTGGTCGTTTTCATTCCCGTAGCTCTCTTCTCCCGTTTTTCCTCATGGCGTCTAACTCCACCCCTCCTGCTGCGACGAGCAATGTTGCCTCTGTTCACTGTGGGCAGGGGTGGTGTTGGAAAAGCCCCGCAAGGAACTTGGCTGTGGGGAAGCTAGCTAGAGGGTGGGGTGGGGATGTATGGGGTGGGGAGAAGAGAAGTAGCCCCAAAGATGTATTTCTGGATATTTATGAAATTAAATTATGACATGTGTTTTTGGGAAACATAACCCCCCTCCCTGAAACAGGTTTTTTTAGCCCTTCCCGGGAAAAAAAGTTTTACCTGCCCGCCCAGCGTATTTTTACGTATCACCAGTACGCCACCCCTGGCGTACCGCGTATATACCCAGCGTATAATACGCTAGCGTATTATACGTGATACTCGTATCTGCCAACGTAGCTGTGGGGCATGACCGAGGTGGCCATTGTGGGGGCGAACATTCAAGAAGTCATCGGCTGTGCCATCGCCCTGCGCATCCTCTCAAGAGGGGCCATTCCCATCTGGGCGGGGGTGTTGATAACGGGGCTCGACAGATGCGTTTGCGGTTTGGTTCTGGTGAAGCACATGCATGCTGTGGGGCATGACGGAGGTGGCCATAGTGGGGGCGGACATCCAAGAAGTCATCGGCTGCGCCATTGCCCTGCGCATCCTCAGCAGGGGAGCCATTCCCATCTGGGCGGGCGTGCTTATAACGGGGCTAGACAGGTGAGCAGCATATGTTTGGGCAGCACCTCTCAATACAAGCTTATCAGAACAAATGAATCGTTAAGTGGCCATAGTGGGGGCGGATATCCAAGAGGTTAGAGGCTGTGCCATCGCGCTACGCATCCACAGCAGAGGAGCCATTCCCATCTGGACGACCGTGTTGATTACGTGGCTCGACAGGTGAGCAATGAGCAACGAGCATGTCGGCTCGTCGGGTTGTTGCAACAAGGCTGGCAGGTGCGTTTGCAGTTTGATTCAGGTGAAGCACATGCCTGCTGTGGGGGATGACCGAGGTGGCCATAGTGGGTGCGGACATTCAGGAGGTGATATGATCGCCCTGGAAAATTATCTCAAGAGGCGCTATTCCCATCTGGGCGGGCGTGTTGGCTGGTGTGCCCATCGCAGGGCAGGGCGTGACAGGTGCCATTCGGGCTTGCCTTGGACCGCCTGCTGTGGCTTGGGACAGGGCGGAAGTGGTCTTAGTGGGTGCGGAGGATATACAGGAGGCCATTACAGTTGTGGGTTGGGATATACAGAGTTGTGGGTTGGGCTGGTTTCACTCACACAGTGCCGGTCGTGGTTCCCCGTCCCCCTCTCTTCCTCGCCCACCGCTCCCCCTCTACCCCCCTCCCAGCTTCCTGCTGCTCTTCCTCGAGAACTTGGGCATCCGCAAGCTGGAGGCACTCTTTGGGCTCTTCATCCCCATCATGCCAGGCGCCTCAAACCACTCTCCTTGCCCTGCCCTGCATTGCCTTCCCCATTTTTCCAACCTCTCCTCCCAGCTTCTTGCTCCTTTTCCTGGAGAACTTTGGCATTCGCAAGCTGGAGGCGCTCTTTGGTCTCTTCATTGCTGTCATGGCTGCCTCCTTCGCCCGCATGTTCCTGGAAGCTGCGCCTGATGCGGGAGCCATTGCACATGGTGGGTGGACGTGGACCAATGCGGTGCTATGGGTGCCATGGGTGTCGTGTTGGGTGTCATTTCTCCATGTCGCAGAGTTGGCGGCGTGACAGGGGGCAATGTGCAACACCATCACACGGTTACATTGTACGAGTTTCAAGCCATACCCACGTGTGCTTTTTGCTTGCAACGCACACTTATTGCTGAGTTCGTTCATGTCATGCATCCATATCCTCCGCATGCACATCCACATGTTTGTCCCATCGCATGCACATCCACATGTTTGTCCCATCGCATGCACATCAACATGTTTGTCCCATCGCATGCACATCCACATGTTTGTCCCATCGCATGCACATCCACATGTTTGTCCCATCGCATGCACATCCACATGTTTGTCCCATCGCATGCACATCCACATGTTTGTCCCATCGCATGCACATCCACATGTTTGTCCCATCGCATGCACATCCACATGTTCCATGCACATCCACATGTTTGTCCCATCGCATGCACATCCACATGTTTGTCCCATCGCATGCACATCCACATGTTTGTCCCATCGCATGCACATCCACATGTTTGTCCCATCGCATGCACATCCACATGTTTGTCCCATCGCATGCACATCCACATGTTTGTCCCATCAGAGGCGCTGCTCTACTTCACTCTCGAGTCCGCCTCTGCGCTGCTGCTCTCCCCCTCTCGCCCTGACCCCCCTTTTTCTCCTCCTCTCTTCCCCCTGACCCCCTCTCTTCTCCCCCTCTCCCCTCCTCCCCTCTCTCCCCGCTCTCCCCATCTCTCCAGGCCTGCTAGTGCCCTCCATCCCCCGCGGGGCCACGAGCATGGCAGTGAGCATACTAGGCGCGGTCATCATGCCGCACAACATCTTCCTGCACTCCGCCCTCGTGCAATCGCGAGCCATCGACCGCCACTCCCCACCACGCGTGGCAGAGGCGCTGCTCTACTTCACGCTCGAATCCGCCCTCGCCCTGCTGCTCTCGTTCCCCGTCAACCTCTGTGTTGTCTCCGTCTTTGCTCGCCTCTTCTATGGGCAGCCAGGAGCAGTTGATATCGGGCTGGACAACGCTGCTGAGTACCTGCAAGTACGTCTGTGAGGTGGGGGCGAAAAGGGAGGGGTTCGCCTGCAGGTAGACTGCTCTTACCTAACAGTACTCGCCTGGTCCGCTGCTCCCATTTCCTCGTCAACTCAACCTCTGTGTTGTTTCGGTCTTTGCCCGCCTCTTCAACGGGCGACCAGGAGCGCTCGATATCGGGCTGGACAACGCCGCAAAGTACTGCAGGTACGTGTCTGGGGGATTTTTTAGACTCCAGAAAAGGCTTATCTGAGGCAGCTGTTGAGGGTTTGACTCCCCCGTGCTCGCCTCAGAGGCGCTGTTCTACTTCACGCTCCCGTCCTTCCTCGTCAACCTCTGTGTCATCTCCGTCGTTGTTCGGCTCTTCTATGGGCGACCGGGAGCAGCCGCCATCGGGCTGGACAACGCTGCGTAGTACCTGCAGCCTGCAGGTATGCGTGTGTAGTGGAGTTTTGGGACGTTCAAAGTGGCTTTTGAGACATGTGATCTGAGGCGTCTCAAAAGTCGCTCGGGAGCTGCTTGTGATGCCAGGTTTCCTTTCTCAGCCTGCCCCACTCTCTCACTCTCTTCCCCTCTCCCTTCGCCCCTCTCTCTTCCTCTCCCCCTCCCCATCCCAGCAAGCCTTTGGCTCGTCCACCTTCCCAGTGGTGTTAATCTGGGCGGCCGGGCTGCTAGCAGCAGGGCAATCATCCACCGTGACGGGCACATGCACGGGGCAGTTCGTCATGTCGGGCTTCCTCGACCTGCACGTGCGCAAGTGGGTGCGCGGGTGCGCCACCCGCACCGTCGCCATTGTGCCCACCATCGCCGTCGCTCTGCTATACACCACTCCGGCTTCACACGCACCGCATGCACCACCGCAGCTGTCACCACCATTGGCAGCACTGTCTGTGCAAGTGACAGGGGGAGCGGGTAAAGTAGAAGGGACAGCAACTGCAGCAGCAGCAGGAAGATTGCTGAAAGAAGTGCTCTTCACTCCTCCCCTTCCAACCTCCTCCTTGGCCTCTGTCTTTCCCCCTTTCATCAACACCTCCCTTCCTGCCTCCGCTTTCTCCTCCTCACCTCTCTCCTCGAGCCTATCACTGCAACTTTCAACGTCTCTCCCCACCTCATTTCCTTCCTCACTCGCATCCCCCGCACTGACGGCACCCCCCATGCTAGCCCTCTCCTCACTGGACGTGCTGAACCAGTGGCTCAACGTGCTGCAGTCCGTGCAGCTGCCCTTTGCCGTCATCCCACTCCTAGCCATCGCATCATCCTCGCATGTCATGGGGCGATACGCCATCAAGGGGGGCGTCAAGGTGAGCGCCGTGTGCAGTTGGTGCTGCTGTGCCCACAAGGTGAGGGGACTGGACGTGCTGAACCAGTGCAACTCAACGTGCTGCAGTCCGTGCAGCTGCCCTTTGCTGTCATCCCCCTATTAGCAATCGCGTCGTCAACCCACGTGATGGGAAGATATGCCATCAAGGGAGCAGTCAAGGTGAGCGCAATGTGCTGCTGGTGCAGTGCAGCTGCTGCTGTGCTGTGCTGCCAAGGTGAGGGGACTGGACGTGTTGAACCAGTTGCTCAACGTGCCGCAGTCCATGCAATTGCCCTTTGCTGTCATCCCCCTGCTGGCCATCGCATCGTCAACACATGTCATGGGGCGATATGACATCAAGGGAGCAGTCAAGGTGAGGTGTGAGTGAGTGAGTGAGTGGGTGAGTGGGTGGGTGGGTGAGTGAGTGAGTGGGTGAGTGGGTGGGTGAGTGAGTGAGTGAGTGGGTGAGTGGGTGGGTGAGTGAGTGAGTGAGTGGGTGAGTGGGTGGACGGGTGAGTGAGTGTACGTGATCATGTGGCAGTCCATGCGGCTGCCTATTTCCGTGATCCCCCTTTTTGACATCACATTGTACTCGCATGTCGTGGGGTGATGTGCCATAAAGGGGGCTCTCAAGGTGAGGTGTGAGTGAGAGTGCGAGCGTAGGTGAGAGTGAGAGTGTGTGTGAGTGTGAGTGAATGTGAGTATGTGGCAGTCCATGCAGCTGCCCTGGCCTGATTATCACCTCTACCTTTCTCTTCCCTCTTTACCCCATTCTCTCTTCGCTCTGAAACGTTTCTCCTCCCGTCCAAGTGTCACCCTGGTTATTACCATCAACTTCTACCTCCTCCCTCGCTCTTGTTCCCACCTCTCCTCTTTCCTTCTCCTCCCCTCCTCTCCATTCCCTCTCCTCCTCCCCACCAGGTGCTGGCCTGGTCATCAACAGCACTGATGTCAATATGTTTAACTCTCTTTCTCTGTTTCTCTCCCCTCCTCTCCTCCCCTTTCAGGTGCTAGCGTGGGCATCAGCAGCCCTGGTAATCACCATCAACCTCTACCTCCTCTTTGACTTCGCCACAACCAACCTCCCTCACTCCCTCTCCACATTCCTCCTCCTCCTCCTCCTCTCCCTCCCCTACCTCCTCTTCCTCATCCACCTCGCCCTGCACCCCCGGAGTGAGGGCTCCGAGTTCAACCATCCGCACCGCTCCCAATCGCACAGCACCTGCAGCAACGAACACTGCCGTCTCGCCAGCCCCACTGGGTCCAGTCAAATAGTAGATTGTGTAACTTGTTCCCGTCCTGCTGGTTCCGATCAAATGGATGGGGGTGTAGGCGGAGCTATTAGTGCCAGCTGTAGTGGCAGCAGCAGCGACACAATCTTCCCCGCTCGAACTGGACGTTCGGGGAGGGGAAGTGGGCTGGGCATGCCTTTGCTGGATGAGAGGTTGGATGAGTGATGCTCTCAGGAGGCACATGTACAGGTGTGGCATGTCAATGAAAACAGAGGGTTATGTGTTGTTAGTTTACATGTAGTGCACTACCAGGGCTGATGTTTCATATTAGGCCTCCCTGATTCGGGGAAAAACATTTCCCTTGTATTATGGGTGCACATTTTTCAAAGGTTTGCTACCTTGATTCCTCAGTGTCCAACAAAGTACCGTCAGACCCCGGATATAAGCGCAGGCCTCGGATAAGCGCCTAGAGCTTATAATGAGCATATGGCGCTTATATCCGGTCCTCGATTATAAGCGCACACTTTTTGGCTTACGGATTATAAGCACCACCCTCTTTTAATGTTTTTTTATTTAGCATGGTTTTTAATCTATTTAATATAAGCCTACACTTCACTACAACAATTTCATATACTATGGTTAGATTCTAAAACATATCTATGGTAATCTAGCTACCAGGGCCTAACACGGGGTACCACTCTAGTCGTCAGCTGCGGTGGGGTCATCTGGGTCGGCCTTAGAGTCCGACTCAGGCAACTCTACATTGTTGCAGCAGAACCCGTCTGCTGCAACCTCGTCGTCCATATCCACTTTGCCCTGGAGCTCGTCTCGCCTGTGTTGCATGCAGAGCTTGTCCTGAGACCCATCCAGGGCGTTGCTGATGCCGCAGGTGAGAAACGCCCGCTGAATCAGCTCCTTGGGCACGGCCTTCCAGGCCGTGGAGATCCACTTGAGCGTCAGCTCAGGTGGTGGCTTCTTAATGTTGCCTGCCATGAAAGACAAGACAACGGGAGTCAGAACAGTTACAGACGGTTAACAAACAAGCACATGGGGGGGATTGACTCACCTTTCACCGTCAATGTGTCGACCCCCTCGAGCTCGAACCACTCCTGGTAGAGCTGGCAAACTGAGGCCTTGAAGGAGCTATTCACCGCGACATCAAGGGGTTGAACCTCCGAGGTGCAGTCTGCAGGGATGACGGCAGGGACTATGTTCAACTACCCGAACTTCTCTTTCACCTCCGCGGTCAGGTGCCCGCGATACGAATCCAGGACGAGCATCGTTTTCCGTGGGCGCACACCGAACTTCGGGTTCACGTACGGCTTGACCGTCCCGTCGAGCCACGCGATGACACCCGCCGCGTCCATCCAACCGTTGGGATGCGCGGACACGACGACATCTGCACATCCACAGTCAAACACTCAATATTAGAAAAAACACACTTAAATACTACACAGCATACCGTAACATGAACATGTTGCAAAGCTTACCTGAGGGGAAATTTCCCTTGGGGGCGGTCTTCCGTTTGAAGAAGACCCACGGCTTCAGTTTTTCTCCGCTGGCGGTGCAGGCGAGCATCACCGTCACTCGCTCCTTCTGATAGCCGCCGCTGCGGATTGGCACGGAGCGCAAGCCCACCTCCTCGACGGTGCGTTCAGCTGGCATCTCGAGCCAGAGCGGCGTCTGGTCCGCGTTAATAATCCACTGATCTCCGATTTTGTATTGGCGGCGGGAGTGTCGAACAAACTTCCTGACCTGTTCCTCACAGTCTTTGGGGAAGGATGGGAGAAACGAGAGATAAACATACACGGGATTAGAGATTCAGGATGGGAGATTAACGTCTCGTAGTCTAAACAAAATCTACACATCACGCAAAACACAAGCGTTAACGACGGCAGAAAAAAAACAACTCACTGGCCGCAAGCTTCTGGCTGACCCTGGTCTTCGCGCGAGTTGTCACGTTCCAGCGTTGGCAAAATCGCTCAGTCCACCGCTGAGAGCCGGCCCACTTTACCTCAGGGTGTAGGACTTTCATCACCTCGTGCGACCACTTCTGCAGGCGGGACACCGAGACGGCGAGACACTTTTTACGGTGGGCGAGAAACTTCGCGTAGACCTGCAGCTCCATGTCGCGGTACCACGAACTCCGTCCGCGACCATGAAGGCGCTTGCGAGCCCCATGCGCGCCCTCCAGCTCAGACTTCCGGATCTTCCACTCTGCGAGTGACCTTTGGGAGATTCCGGTTTCGCGGGACATCCTCCGCACATTCATCACCCCGGATTCAAGCTTCAAAATCCACTGCAGCTTCTCCTGGGATGTATACGACTGGCGCGTGTGTGTTGTATGCTTGTTCTTGGGGGAGGGAGGACGGGCATCTCGATTCTCTCTGGAAGGGTGGGGACGTTTTTTATTAGGAGGGGGAAAAGTTGGAATAGGCAGGTGCTCGGGAAGACCGTCGACCGCCCAAAACTCCACATCGTCATCGGCACCAGTTGCGGATTCGTCGTGGGGGCAATCAGCCGTGGAACCCCAGCGTGGCGACGAGGCGGAGGAAGATGCTTCGGCGCCGCTGCGGTCTGGCTCAGACAGGTAAGCGTTGAACGCCGAGTAGCCAGGAGGGAGGAGAAGCTGCAGAACCCCCTGACGTGGAACACCGACTTCAGGCGGAGCAAGAGGGGACGGAGGAGCGGGAGGAACCGGGAGCGCTGGAGGAGTGGGAGGAATAGGAGGCGTTGGAGGAGTGGGAGGAATGTCAAAACATATTGTTATGTTCATCTTACTCTAGGTTGTGTAGGGGTCACACCTTAGAGGGTACAACCCAACTCTCTCGACATCCTTGTACCCCCTCCCTTTTACCTAATTCACCATTCCTTCCTACCTAATCTCGACATGGTATTAAGAGCCAAATGGTCCTTAGGACCGAATTTTTAAGCGGGCCCACCTAACAATTTCGATATGCTGCCCGAGTCGCGCACCTGACCGCGCCCTAGCTGCCCCGTGCGCCACTCGCGCGGCCCATCAGCCCCTACGCCCGGTCTTCCCTCGTTCCTGCTGCTGCGCGCGCCACTCACGCTGCCCGCCAGCTCCTAGCGCGCACCTGCTGCGCGCCCTTTTTGGGCTGCTCCGCGCGCACCCGTTGCGCGCCCCTGGTTTGCTAGCCCACAGCCCGCGCGCGCCTACTGCTGCTGTGCGCCGGCTGCTGCTGCTACGTGCCGCTGCTGCTCTGCCACTGCGCCCGAGCCGCGCCGTTCAGCCCGAGCTGTCACTGCTAGTGCTACTGCTGCTACAGCTAGTGCTACTGCTGCTGCTGCTACTACTGCACTTGCTACAGCTGCTACTGCTGCCCTGCTCTTGCTGTACTGCTGCCCTACTGCCCTGCTGCGCTGCTGCTGCTATTAAGTTGCTGCTGCCCTACTGCCCTGCTGTGCTGCTGCTGCTATTAAGTTGCTACTGCCGCCTGCGCTGCTGCTGCTGTTAAGCTGCTGCTGCTGCTGTTAAGCTACTGCTGCCGCCTGCGCTGCTGCTGCTGCTGCACTGCTGCTATTGCCCTGCTGCTGCTGCTCGAGCCGTCCTGCTAAGCCGAGCCGCTCCGTGCATTAGTGCTGCCCTGCCCCCTGCACTCGTGCCGCTGCTGCTGCTGCTAATAGGCTGCTGCTGCCACCTGTGCTGCTACTGCTGCGCTGCTCCAACTGCTCAGCTGCTGCTGCTGCTAGGCTGCTGCTGCCGCCTGCGCTGCTGCTACCACCTGTGCTGCTGCTGCTGCGCTGCTGCTGCTGCCGCTACTACTGCGCTGCTGCTACTGCTCAGCTGCTGCTGCTGCTAGGCTGCTGCTGCCGCCTGAGCTGCTGCTGCCGCCTGCGCTGCTGCTGCCACCTGTGCTGCTGCTGGTGCGCTGGTGCTGCTGCTCCCGCCTGCGCTGCTGCTGCTGCTGCTGCTAGGCTGCTGCTGCCGCCTGAGCTGCTGCTGCCGCCTGCGCTGCTGCTGCCACCTGTGCTGCCGCTGCTGCCGTAACTGCCACTCCTGCTGCTTGCTGCCGTTCGTGCTGCTATGGCGACTCCCACTGTTCTAGCCTTTGACGCAGTGGGGCAACCTTTAGGGTTTGACTCCTGGCTAGAGGGGCTGCACCTGTACCTCCGGAGTGTCAAACGGGACAACGTCTCCCTGTTCGAGCACACGTCGGGGTCCTTTCCGGCCCCAGAGGCTCCTGCTGAACCTACTGCTGACGCTGAAGAGGAGGAGCGGACGCAGTTCCGCGCAGCTCACCTTGCCTACAACCGGTGGATGGCACGAGACGCTGCCGCCTCACTTGCAGTCCGCCTTCACCTCTCGTTCGACCAGCGAGCCTTCTTCCCCAGGAGTCAGGTGCCGTCGGCCCATGCTTTGTATTCCGCTGTGGTTAGGCGCTACTCCCCCCCCCCCTCCTGCAGTCCTATGCTGTCTTGCGCTGCCTCTTACCTTCCCTGCGCTGTCAGACCTCACCACAGTAGCTAACGAGGGTCGTAGTGGAGCTGGCAGGAGTGGCAGGGGCGGGCACCAGGAGTTAGAGCCATTGTGTGTCGCTGCTTGTGCGCCTACTAGCACAGTCTATGCGCACCCCTCCACTGTTCTCCCGTGTCTCGTAGTCCCCTCTGCCTCCTCTGGCTCGACCGAGGGGGATGACCCTACTGCTGCCAACACAGCGACCTCTCGCCGCTCACCGCGCTTGGAGACGCCTCCGGGTTTTCCGCCCCGGACGTGTTCGCCTCCTCTGCAGCCTGTCGCTGCGGACTTCGGGGGCCCAG